ATATGTGTTTGATCAGTTAGCTAGACTAATCCAGTATAATAAATACATAAAATTGGGGAGGATGACTGTATTCATACTAATCCAAATTAATCTCCGCTGCTTGTTTGTTTGTAGCCGTGCAGTGACAACATTTAGACTCGTCTGGAAATGGAAATAATAATTTCTCTCTCTCTCTCTAGCCAATATAATTGACCACTTCCTAACCCCCGGCTTATAATTAGCGTATTATTACAATTATTACTTATTACCTAGCTTGCTTTTTTTTTTTTTTTTGCGTTACAGGAGGCTGAAAGCCAAAGAAAGAAGGTTACAAGGGGGGAGCCGAGAGGTTGGGAGGAGAGGAAGAGTCCGCGACTACTCGACGCTCGAAAGTGATGCCCATGTTGTCCTCTTGTAGAATACTTCCTAAGCCTTGGGACGGGTTTGCAAGCTCATGCATACCATAGGGATAGACGAGACTGTGCTTCGAGAGCCAGTCCGCGACTCTATTCCCTTCCCGGTATGTATGAGAAATGCTCACCAGCCAATCTTGGCTTAGTTTCCTGCGAATAGCTAAGAGCAGAGTGGAGTAGGGGTGAACCTAGTCCAGCCGATTATTAATAAGCTCAATAGCTAACCTCGAGTCTGATTCAATCTTCAGAGTGCGACAACCTCTGTTCCAAGCAACTTCAAGACCATGAAAAACAGCCCATAATCCCGCAAGAGCAGCAGACGCCATTCCTATATTGCCCACAAAACCAGAAACCCAGCGTCCTGAGCTGTCCCGAATGCACCCCCCTGTACCAGCTGGTCCTGGATTACCACAAGAAGCACCATCAACTTTAAAAGTACACCAACCTTGAGGAGGTGGCTTCCAGCCAATATTCTGCACCACCCTTGTTGCCGGTTTAGATCTGCTACAAGGCAAAGCTGTCGGAGCGTGCCAAGCATCATGCCAAAGCTTCGCTTTAGCAATGATGGAGTGAGCCAAAGAGGGAGGAGAGAGGACGGCAGCAAGACCCTTGAAGCAAGCCTCACATCTACTCTTCTAGAGACACCAGGTTGCGACACCAAAGAAAGCAGCCCATTGCATTCCGGAAGGACCTGCTTCTGAGTTGCTAAGATTCTCACGCAGCCAAACACACTGCTCAGCACTGAAAAAAGAATGCTGCTTCGCAATAGGGACATGTCTGCTCCAGAAGAAGAGCGCTGGGGGGCAATCGCAAAGCACATGGAGAATGCTCTCAGGCTGTCCCTGGCAGCGGACGCAGTCCGAGTTAGGAGGTGATTTCCTGCAAAAACGAAGTTGATTAGTTGCAATTCGACTAAGACACGTCAGCCAGAGAAAACTCCTAACGCGCTCCGGGACCGGTAAGCTCCAAATGATCTTCCAATACTTCTCGTCTGGATCTGAAGCGTGCTGGTTAAGAAGATTGTATGCCGTTTTGGGCGAAAATCTTCCATCAGAGGCCGCACTCCAAAAGATAGTATCATTCTCCGTCGAGATAGTGTCCACCGCTGTGCTAATGATCTTCATCTGCACCTCTTGGGGTAGGAGATCAGAGAAAAGGTCGGTCGGCCAAGCCCCCTCCTGGGTCACAAAATCAGCGACCACGGCGTCCTCCATCTCCTCCAGAATTTGCTCGACCGCTACATCTTTGAGAGGTACCTGCAGAATCCAAATATCGAACCAGAACTTAGTGCGTCTACCATTCTTAATGTTCCACGCACAACCTTTCTGAAGTAAATCAGCGGCCTTAGATATGCTTTTCCAAGTAAAGGAACTTCCCTGAATTGGGCGCATGATGCCTAAGTCCATTTGATCGTGGCTGTATTTATCACGAAGAACTTTGCACCACAAGCTGTCCGTCTCCTTGAGAAGTCTCCAACCTCCTTTGGCGAGCATCGCCAGATTCGCCTGTCTGATGGATCTCAACCCAGCTCCACCCTGTCTCCTTGGGAGTATCATCTTCTCCCAAGCTACCAGATGCATCTTGGCTTTGTTCTCCTCTTCTCCCCAAATGAAATCCCTGTTCAACTAATCGATGCTTTTGCACACTCCAACAGGGATTAGCTCAGTATTCATGTGATAGGTAGGGAGAGAAGAAGTTACCGAACGAGCCACAGTGAGTCTTGCCGCCAAGGATAATCGACGAGCTTTCCAAGGGGCAAGCTTCTTCTGAATCCTCAAGAGAAGTCCTTGATACTGCCCTTTGGTGATCCGGCCATGAATGGTCTCAATACCCAAGTATTTCCTCAACTCCCGTTTAAGAGGAATGCCCGCCTTTCTGCTCAAGAGATTAGCTTTAGTCCGGTTGACGTTGGGAGAAATGTACATGATTGACTTGTTGTAGTTAACCCGCTGCCCAGAGCTAGTGCAGAAGTCCCCCAAGCATATCATATGCTTTCTGCTAGGGAGGCCAACCTCTTTCAAGGTATCTCTCAGAAATTCTCATCTAAGCATATCATATGCCTTCTCAAGATCGATCTTAAAAACCATCCCTCCTTTCCTTCCTCTTCTCTTGTTCAAAGTATGGAGGACTTCCTGAACAATGATAATATTATCTGATGTCTATCTTCCTGGGATGAAACTTCTTTGCCTGGGGAGATCAGTTTCCTCATGATCGGCTTAAGCTGGCTCGTCATCGCCTTAGTGATTGCCTTCAGGCTGACGTTGTTCAAGGAAATTGGCCTCAGCTGGGTAACCAGCTCAGGACTGTCAACCTTAGGGATGAGTACCACTGTAGAACCTGAGACCGCCGCTGGGAGATTCCCAGTCGAGAAGAAATAGGTCGCCATATCAGCTAGTGCCCTGCCAGTTGTGCTCCAAGACTGTTGATAAAAAGCCTCCTGAAAACCGTCCGGGCCCGGAGCCTGGAAAGGCTTCATATCAAAGATTGCCCTATGAATGTCAGACATAGTAAAAGGGCTCAGCAAGAGCATCATCTCAGACTGACTAAGCCTAGGGAAGGCTTGCTTGGGGAGTTTATCCTCATAAGTTGAGTCATCTTGCAGGTAGAGGTTAGCAAAGTATTCAAAAACAAGAGAGGCAAGCTCATCCGTGTCGTCAATCCAAACCCCATTCGCATCTCTAAGGGCCCCAATCTTGTTGCCCCGTCTCCTGATATTGACTTGTTGGTGAAAATAGGCAGTGTTTCGCTCGCCAAATAGAACCTCTAGCACGTTGGAACCAAAGAAGCTCCTCCTGCTCCTAAACTTTATCCAACTCTTCCGCTAGCCTGGTATGAAGCTTGGCTAATCCTGAATCGAAAGAATTAGCTAGGCGAACCTCAACTCCTCAAATCCGAGCACAAAGCCTGCGCTTCTTCTGCTGGATATTACCAAAAACTGTTTGCTTTGTAGGAATTGCCTTGCTCCCCCCTAGTCCAGGTAAAACGTGGTTCCGAAAACCCCAGGTCAATCAGCTCTGCCAGATTGATCCGGTCATTAAAGAGGCGGCATCTTCTCAAGGTAGAGGCCGACGGGGCACCACTCTTCTCCTCCGGACTTCGAATCGCATTAAAATCGCCTGTGAGCAGCCAAGGCATATCGATTGTCTTGCTTTGCTCAACCAAACTGTTCGAAAGGCTGTACTGCAGACTCGGGCGGGGAGAGGCATAGACTACCGTGAGAAGCCAGGGAGCTTCATTCCCCTGTGAAATGCGAAGAGACAGATGCTGATTGCAGGCTGAAACCAGAGTCACGGAGAATTTCTTGTTATCCCAAAAGACCCAAATCCCTCCTTTCTTGTCGTCTGCTTCCCCTCTAGCAACGTTAGAGTAGCCCAGCCGATCACAAAGAGCATTCGCAGTATTCCCACTAATTTGGGGCTCTAGAAGAATCACAAATCCGGGCGGTGGGATTCGAGGACCATCTTCAGGGATCGCGCAAAAGCTCGGCTCCCGGCTCCACCTACGTTCCAGGACAAAATTTTGAAAGAGGTTGTACTTGACATTGATAAGATATTAAAGGGAAGAAGGAGAAAGGGAGGCTCAAAAGGAACGGGCTCACCAATTAGATGGAGGGAGTCGCCGCTTGATTCTCAGGAACGGTAGACACCGGAGCATTTGCAACCGGCGAATCTGCCTTCTTCAAATCCATCGCTACTGCTTCTCTCCCCCCCTTGGTCCAGTCGTTTATTTCTTCAAGAGTAAGGGTGGCCAGCCGAGATTTCGTTTTGCTCTTCTTCTCCTTCATCGGGGACCATATTTGCAGCGGCTTGAGAGGATTCGGCTTCATCGGAGGGCCCTTGCGTGATCTGGGTTTAGAAGCTTTGTTCTGCTTCTGTTTTCCTCCCAGCTCCGGCCGCTTGGAATACGTCTCTGAGAGAGGCTTGAACCCGGGCTGTTGGGTAGAAATGATCTGCATGCTAGTGCCATTGGGCCCTGTCAAGAGTTGAATGGGCATCGCAGCTTCTGGAAAGGGTGGGCTTGAAGGGTTGTTAACGGGCCCAGTATTTGAAGAGAGGGGGGCAGGTGTGGAAGATGGCTCTCTAGTGCCATGTGAAGAAGAAGCGTCTGATGGGCTGTTAGAGGCCTTAGGTCCAGGAACGTTGGACAGAGAAGGGCCAGGGCCCAGTAGGCCTTTAGAAGCCAGTGGAACTGCCATTCCCACCTTCTCCTTACCTTTTTTTGCTTCTTCCTTGCCTTTGCCAATAGCCATGGATTTATTCTCTGAAGCATTTGTCCGTTGGGTACTCTGAGGAATATGTGGGGCCGCCCCACACCATCTCCACTTTCCTTTCTTGTCAAAATACTCTTTCCATTTCTGCTCCCATTTCCCTCATTCAATTTCCCTTCCTCCGATTCCTCCTTCCCTTTCCGATTCTGATCCCGATTATTCCGTCGGCTTTTCTTGGTAACTATCATCCAGGGTCCGAAATTTGCGCTGGGTTCCTTCATCGTCATCGCGTCGGAGTTGTCCACACCCAGGCTTCCGGCCACCGTCAGAGCACCCGTTTGAGAAGTTAATCGGACCTTTGGGCAGGAGACTGACGGATGACCCACCTTGCCGCATTTGAATCACACCTCTGGAAGGTTTTCGTATTCAACCTTCTGCCATTCCCCGTCGATGTGAACTCGAGGAATCAGGGGCTTTCCCAGGTCAATTTCCACAGCAAGGCGTGCGAATTTGGCTCTTCGCTGATTCAATGTGTGGTAATCGAGCTTGATGGTACGCCCAATCAGGTTTCCAATAGACGTTAAAACTTCTTTGTGGTAGAGATGGATCGGTAGACCTGGGAGTTGGAGCCAAACAATCATCCTCTTCGGAAGGGGATATGAGATTCTGAAGCTTGGAGTCCACTGATGCACAACCACATAGTGATCGAAAATTGTCCATGGTCCTTCGGTGAGGGCTTTGAAATAGTCTTGATCATTTTCGAGCTTCACCAGATAACAATCATGATCCAGGTCTCGCACTTCCATATGCCCTGTTGGACGCCATTGAGCCCGGAGGCGAGAGCAGAGAGTGGTGAAACCAACTTTAATCCCCAAAATCCGGACAACAAGAGTTCTCTGCCAAGGAGCACAGAGTTTGTTCTTGAAGGTGGCTGAGATTTGTAAGGCTGGTTCCCCATTGAAATCTCATGGAATAAGATCATGTTCTCCAACTGGGGTCCACTGGTTACCTGGCGCTCCTGGATTGTCAAAGTTTTCGTTCCAGAAACTACTGCGGCGTAAGAAAAGCCTTCGAGATTCATCGGCCCAGGTGAGATCTTGAGCGTGTTCGCAGGAGAAGAGGTCGTCAATACCTCCGTTTCCATATCCTTTGATTGACTTGCGGCATATGATTGGTCGCTGAGATCAAATCAACCGCCATTTCCGTAGAGGAGGAGATTGCTTGCAGAGCTGGACTAGATGTCGCAAGGTCCGGTGAAGCCACCAGCTGGGGAAAATCCGGCGGCCGCCCCGATGGGATGGTTGCCGGCGTCGGAGATTGTTGTCGGGTAGGATCGATAGCGAGCATTTCAGAGCATTTCAGAGCCAGCTACCTAGTGTACACTGACCTTAATTGGCCAATTATTGTACTATATTAAGAGTATTGAGGTCTACTACCTAGCTTGCTTGCTTCTGAAAAACTAATGTAATTTCTTTAATTAACCTAGTGCTAGCTTTACTCTTTTAATACGTTTTGCTTCATTGTTGTGGCTACCTTACGTTTCGAATCTATCAGAATAATTTACTTTTTATTTTATTGTTGTGATGGGATCTTCCAGAATATTCAGTTGCTAGCTTGTGGTGGATCGGCATAATTGCTGAGATGTCACTGTAGCCAAGCACTTAATTGCTTCTTAATAATTTGATTGGTGAGATAATTAAAGAGAGAATACATACATATGATTCGATTTTCATTAAAAAAAATGATTACATAGTTGCAAGTTGGAAGAGAAGAGTGAACTGGACTGCTCGCTGTGCTGCGCATGTCAGCCCGTCTCAATTAGTATTGAATAGATTTCCACGTACCCACCCACTACAATTGATTTGCCCCAACTCACGCTTACGCTAGGGTAGCTCGATCCATGCAGTTGCGTGCTCCGGAAGGTAATCATGTTTAGCAAGTATTCTCTCTTTTCAAATTAAACAACAGATAATTAGGGATCTATGATGTTTGTTCTGTTGGAAAGTAGTTGAGGGGATTGATTAGGTAAACGGAACTCAACTGCTAAAGTCCTAATGCAATTATAGAGTGAACAATGACGACGGTGCTCATAATCAGGGGCGGAGGGAAAAGGTTAGAGGGTGGATTCGTGGACGCATCCTGTCAATGGTAAATTAGTTATAATAGTTAATCGGGTATAAAAAATAATAAATATTTAAATGAGAATAGTTTACCTTTCAAATATTTGATGTGTACATGATTTATAAGTTGTGTAGTGACATACTGAATATTTTTATAACGAGTAATGTATAAATGGCAATGATTTGGGCCAAAATGTACACATTTTACCCCTCATTTCTTATTCGTTTAACTTAGTATTTCATCCTCCCTCGACATATTTCACACTAGGTTGTGCTTGTTTTGATATATTTCAGGTCCTAGCACGTGTGGAAGGGTCGAGGTCGAATTTTGGGATAACTGGAGGTCAAAAAGCACAAAAACCGAAGAAAATCCGAAGACTGTGACAATTGCCCCGTAATAGTGAAGCGCAAGCATCCAGGAAGCAGCCGCAATTCACGGTCAGACAGGGCAGTTCACGGTCTCCTAAGGCCGTGAACTGGAAGCAAAAATCATGAACATCGAGGCGTCCAACGAGGTTCCAGAAGTTACTGACGATAAGGTAGTTCATAGTCACTAAAACCGTGAACTGGAGCTGTCACCCGTGAACCCAGAAGTCAAGCGGTGCGTTTTGGCGACGACACTGAGTTCACGGACGCGCTCAGGTGTTCACGACCGTGAACTGGCCAACGCGTCCGTGAGCTGGTCACTTTCGGGCAAATATGAAGACAACACCGGGGAGAGAAGATGAGAGCTGGTTTTTGAGAGAAATTCAATTCCCTCTCTAGGGTTTGCCCAAAACACCAAAGGGGAGTTTTAGTAAGAGAGAGTGCTAGAGTGATCTTGGAGTATCATTGGTGGCTTGGGAGGATCTTGAAGACAAGGATTCAAGCCTAGAAGAAGAAGAAGATCTTGAGCTCAAATTTGTAATCCCTCTCTTCTCTCCAAGAAACTCACCCTCTTCTCTTTGTTTTAAGAACCCTAGGTCTAGATTTTGGGTTAATGTTGATGTATGTGACACATTCCATGTTTGATTGACGATTTTACTTAAATGATGGATGTTTTCATGAATGGCATGAATTGAGTTTTCATTTTTCATGTATTGAGCTTTTGACCTAGGAGGGAGATAATCCCCTTGAGCCCCTTTTGGTGTCTTCAGGTCACTCCTACCGTATATTGTCCGGGTAGACCCCGAGGGTGTTGATTCGACCGGTCTCCTAGCATTATACAAAACCCTAGGTTGAATAGAGCACTACCCATCCATCGATTCGCCATTCCGGGACATTCCCTAGGGAGTCCATCTCCAAACGGTAGTGTATTTGAGTCGATCGAGCTAGGAGGATACCCAACATTGATTCAAAGAACGGACCTAGGACGATTGAACCCAAGAGAGCTCAAAACCTTGTAAATAACTATGTTAGTGGTTAGTCTAGGTTAGTTAGTTTAATTCTATCAATCACTATCCTAGGTTGGCTAGATAACGAACCCTAAACCTGAAGTAGGGTAAGTCTAGATCCCCGTGGTACGATAAATTCTTATTGCTTTGCTTGCCCTATGCTACACCAGGTCGGCGGTTATACTTGGATTTCGATTGAGATGTTGTAGTTAGAACGAGTAAGATAATGATGCATATGATCCGTCCAAAATTAAAGATGTATTTGTCCAATATCTCGAACAAATTTCCACCAACTCATAACTCATTTATAAAAATATTTTTATGTCAATCAAGGGTAGGAAGAATGTAACGGACGGCTCCTCAGGACAAAAATGAGTAAAATAGTATAATAATGAATTGAGAATAAAATGTAATGCACTTCTAATTGAGAATGGCTGACCGAGAGATCATCTGTTCGAATCTTGGCTACTCTATTTGTTAACGACATGATATTCTTATTTGCGGAAAATTTAAGCACGTATAAGTTGGTTTTCCTTAGCGAGGAAGTATTAGTAAGTACATAGTATAAGTCCATTATTAAATCTTTCACAACAGCTCGACTTATTGATACTAAACGGTTTTGACGAAGAACACCATTCAAATGCAAATGTCTAACTAAATCATTAATAATTGGTTGATACATATAGGTGATATTCTTGATAGTTTCGACATATATTTAACTTACCAAGTTATTAAATACAAAATTATATCATGAAGTATTTAGAATGCAACTATTTTATCATATTTGTTTTTTTTTTCTAAATGGACCCACTCTCGACAAAATACTGGCTACGATGCTCATAATAATATGATAAACATATGTACACACAAGTAATTTTGGGAGGAGACAACATAATAACACCTGATAGTATTATTATGGTGTTTAAACTAATAGAAAGTTAGGATTACTTTGTTGACGAGGTTACTTTACGTTTGGGCTCGTGGGTATTTTCGAATTGGGCTAGGGGTGTTTTTTCTTTTCGTTTAAGTTTTTATTTTGGGTTTGGGGAAGGGGTAGTCGAGTAGATGGGGAATTCGGGTAGGTTAGACTACGTATTAGGCTTTTCTAAGCCTATAAATATGTAAGTTCAGCATTAGTTCCGTATCCAATTAATAAATCAAAGATTTATAGACATCAACGTCTTTCTCTCGCTTGTGAGTTACAAGCAAAACCCATGAACTGTTAGTAACAGTTCATCAATTGGTATCAGAGCCTGGTTCCGAATCCGTTCGGGATCAGTTCGAGATGGGTATAGGCACTGCGGCAAAAAGATGCTCGGCGTTAGAGGCAGTGATGGAGCAGATGCAGGCGAGGATCGCGGCGCATACCGCAAATCTCACGACATTAACGGTGTGGGATACAAGTATTGAGGGAACGATGGAGGCGATGATGGCTATGATGGATGCATGGATTCCACATCGTGAGAGCAAGGCCACGATAGGCTCGATCAGTGGAGACGAGACCTCGAAGGAGAAGGAAGGAGAGAAAAGTACGACTGGGGTGAGGATCAGCGAGAGGAACGCAATCGGACCTAAAGTTGGCAATGGCAGCGACGCTCGTCGCCATGACTTACGGGGGAGCTACGGCGGTAAGCCATCCGCCGATGGAGGTGGCTACAATAGCACTAGAGGGACTTTTCTCGCAAAACTTGCTAGGCTGGAGTTTCTTAAGTTTGCTGGAGAGGATCCGGGATCATGGTTTCCTCATGTGGAGCAGTTTTTTGAGTACTAGGAGGTTCCAATCGACCAGAAGGTACCACTAGTTGCGTTTCATCTGGAGGGAGAGGCAAACCAGTGGTGGTAGTGGTTGAAGTGAACCTATAAAGACGCAGGAGAGCCGATTACATGGGGTTGTCCTCGTAGGATCTTTGGGCGAGGTTCGGTCCGACTAAAAGAGGGAGTTGTGATAACACCTAAATTATACATATATTCACCTACACTTTTACATCCTAAAATGACCTAAATTGTACCAAGTTCATTCAATTTCCCGATTTTATTCTTGGTTTTGTGTTTGAGTCATGTTTCAGGGTATTCTATCCAATAAGAACGGAATAATGAGTCAATTCAACAAAAAGATGGTTAGGGTTCGAAATCAGGCGTCGATGGAAC